CTTTCTTTCCCAAAACTGTAAGAATTAGCAGTGCTTCCTAGTTTCTTTATGATGGTAGCATTTCTTTCCACTTGAGTAACTGGAATTGGAATCAACCAATTTGAGAAGGCTCTGGAGATACTTTATCATATCTTGGATATATCCCTTCCAGCTTAGCTGCTATACTTCTGTAGACCCTGGGACAAATGGCCATTGGTTCTGTTATACTGGGTTATTAGAAGAAGAGAAACAGAATTAGCAACTGAGGTCAGCATGACTGTCCTGGGTATAGTTCCTACTTTTTCTGGATGCCTTGAAGTGGTTTCAGTGTGTGTCCTGGGCTTTTGTCCTTTTGTCTGTGACACAGAATTGTCCTGTCCCAATTGTAAATTCTTAGCAAGGAAGTAAGGACCATTGAAGGTTCCCCCCGCCCCTACAAGGATTGGGAACATGTTAGGCAAAAGCTAAGGTAAGAGTAAAGAGATGAAGTGCAGGCATAGCCATGGAGCAGAGGCAGCAGTAAAAGAATGGGTAGAGATCCAGCAGGAATAATAATAAAAATAGCTATGATTTATATGTTGCAACAGTTTGCAAAGTATCTTACGTATGTTAGCTCATTTGGTCATCACGACTTTGTAAGTTAGGTGCCATTATCAATTATGAAATAGGCTGAGATGTTATGTGACTTACCCAGAACCACCCAGCTAGTTGTGAGGGATAAGAGAGGAGGTATGCATTTGAATCAAGGCATAAGGCTGCTGAATGAATGAGCCTAGAGTAATATGAGTATAAAGAGCAATTGTTTTCTGTTCTGTTTCTGGCCAGAAACTTTGAAGATCTTCCCATCCCAGACTGATAGTTTTATGGCGGTAAATTAGGCCATCTTTTGTCTCAATTCTTAACTAGCCCTTAGTCATTGAATGGGCATTGTCTTGGACAAACTGAGGCCTGGGGAAGACTTTAATTTAGAAAAGTCATCCATTGCATTTCGAGAGTTGTCTTGACTTATTTCTTGCCATTGGACTTCAGTGACTTTGGAGAAGAGAGTAAGGCTGACAACTCTGCTCAGCTCTGCCTCACTTAAATCCAGTTCACTCAGAAGTCAAGACATCACCCTTGTGATATTGTTGGTCCTCTTTAAGAGCACAGAACAAACAGTGACAACAGTAAGATGCCTCAGGAAGACGCAGACCTCTCTGGCATGTAGCTGCCTCATTGCCATTCAGCAGAGTCACCAACCACTATGACGACTCCAGTTTCTTTTCTTTGACTCTTACAAGATGATTTCTCACCTGTCAGCACCTGTGGATCCATGGCCATTCTTTGGAGGAAAAGTAGCTACCTCACAGGTTTTGGCTCCTGCTTCTTCAAGAAAAGCCTCAGTTTATTACTTATCTCCCTGATAATCTGGAAAAATAGAGAACTCCCTTTATCTTCTCTTCTGAGAGGGAGACCAACTAGCACTTTCAGTATAAATAAAAATTACTTGGTTATGGCAGAGAAACAAACATTTCATACTCTGTAGATCACTACAGAATTTTTCCTGCCCCCCATACTTTCTTGACTCAAAGTCCTCAGGCCTCTTATTAGTAGTTCTTGTTGCCAGCTCCCCCAGAGAACTTCTGTGGTATCTCTCCTCCACATACTTTACATTCCAGCTAAAGTGGATTACTTGGTAACTCTTGAATTATGTCCTGTGCTTTCCCACCTCCTTGCCTTTGCTCCTGAAAGGCCCTCTTGCCTTCTATAATCTCTGCTTATTGGCATCCTTTAATGCCTGTCTCAAATACCACTATCCTCATGAAGGCTTCCAGCATTTCAAACACCTGGAAGTTGTTTCCTCCTTTCCTGATCTCCTAACACTTCATGTTCCTCATCTGCACTTAACATTCTAATTTGTACTGTCATTGTTTGTGTACATTTCTTATCTCCCTCTCCTAGATCGTAATATCCGTGAAGACAAGGACCAAGTCACATATCTTCATATCTCCCCCAGTGCCTAGCTCAGTTCAGGTGCTTAATAAATGCTGGATAAAACACTAGAAGAGCATGGAGTTTCCTAGATTTCAAGTTGCTTTAGGTAAAGACTTCTATGTATCTTTATATTCCCAGTACCTACCAGCGCTCTGTACACAGTGGACTCTCAGTAAATGTTGAGGAGGAGAAATAAAGGGAACAAAAGGAAACTCAGCATGTATGGATGGGACAGGTTGCTTAACTAAGGGGCCAGGTTTCTAGAATCAAAAGAAAGGCTAGTCAGCATCTTCCTGCCAGCAGAGCCTTGGATACACCGACCCAGTCAGCAAATCAAGAGGCTCCTAAGAGAGCACTTTCAGCTTAAAGTCAGAGGGGTAGGTGCAGGGTGCAGACAGAATAAGATCTTGCTTCTTTAGAGACCCGGAGGAAGAAAAGTGAACCCCACCCAGGGACAGGAGTTTGAGAAGTAAGAGAGTAGAAGTAAAAAAAAAAACTGTTATAAGTTTTTAAAAATGCTTTACATAGAAGATGGCAGAGTGAAAGCAGTGTCTTGCTTGAGCTCTCCCCCAAACCCCTCCAAATACCTATAAAAATGGCTCTAAACAAAAATGCTTTACATACATAATCTTATTTGAGCCTCAAGATAACTCTGTGGAGCAAGAAATAATTCACTAATTGGGAAACAGACTCAGAGAGCTTGGTTAAGTGACTTACTTGTTCATTCACATCTTTCCTGACACTAAGTTGCACATTCTTTCCACAGCGCATCCTCGACAGTAAGCAAAGACAGTTACCCCCACAGATAGGGGTGAGCAGAGGGACCTGCTGATTGGAAGGATGATAAATCAAAGAGAGAGCCAGAGGCTGAGACAGCTTAATGTCTTAAACCAGTAGCAAGCTAATTATGTACTTCTAATGTTCCTCCGCTATATACAGTTTGTGCACCAAAATCCTGAAACACTGGAATAAGACTTAGTTATACACTTGAATAGGCGTGGAACATTATGTACTGCAATGACCAGATAGCAGGTTCAAAGAAGAAAAAAGTGAAGAAAAGATTGTAAATCCAGAGGCAAGGTCTTCTTAGGATGAATTCCTCCATTTTTTGGCCTCCTGGGTGTTAGCAGTGGAAAGCAAACTCAGAACATAGCTTTAGTAATCTAGCTGAGGAGAGTCTATGTAGGGACTACCCCTTGGGAAAGCAGGGGTTGAGGCCTTGCACTGGACTACACACGTAAGGAAAGTGGGATGTCAGGGGTAAAATCAAGCTAGATCAGCATCGTCGAGTGGTACTACACAGAGTCATGCCATACGTGAGCTTGGATAGTCGTCTCTTGTCCCTAACATTGAACATTGAGAGCCTTGTTGCAGTTTTTTTGTTATAATGCAATCCTCTAACATGGACACGAAGAACTGTATTGTAGTTACATTCTGATGTGTTGAGCATCTCTACCATTTAGGTTCTGTACCAAGAAAATGAAGGGCACAGATATTTGGCTCCTAGCTACTTGTTTGTAAGGGATTTGGAGTGTCACAGAGAGCTTCACAAAAGGCTTTATAGTTACAGTCAAGTTTATTTAGTCATTCGTGGGTTTTCAGCATATTAAAAGTACCATCATAGCAGAGGATTTCGCATGGAGGGTCAAGTATACCAAATAATGTATTTCCTCAATAGGTAGCATCCATGCGTCCTGTCAAGAATCTTTCTCAGCGCTCTGTTGCAGAACAAAAGTATCACATCTGTACTATGTGGAAAGCCTCTGGCTCCCTCCGCCATCACTATCTACCCTCCAAGTGTCAGGAAGCTGAGAGAGAATCTGTTTTTAATCCTTTTAGTCTTTACTTTAGTAGTGATTGCTTGCACTGAGTGAAAAAGATAATTTTCAGAGAATCACAAAGTTTTAGGGTTGAAGCTATCTAACCCAACCCATACCTGATAGGAGATCCTAGTATAATAACCCTGACCATCAGTCACCTGCTTCTTTGAGAGAATCTGCCACTTTCCAAGGAAGGCCATGCTACTTTGGCACCGCATTTTTCCTGACGTCTAGCCTGAATTGCATCTTTTTAGCTTCCACCCATTGCTCCTGGTTGGCTTTCTGGAGCTGAATAGAACAAGCCTAAACTGTCTGCCATGTGCCAACTCAAAATACTCAGAGACAGTTACCATGTTCTCCTTGAATCTTCTTTTTTCCAAGCTCAGCCAATTCTTATATGACATGGATTTTGTCCCCTCAACTGGTCAGTCAGTCAGTAAACGTTTATTAAATGCCTGCTACACACCAGGCATTGTGCTAAGTACTGGTCAGTTCTACAGTTGTCCCTGTAAGTTGTACTAGTGCTAGTGGTATACTTTGTTTTACTAAAAAAGTTAGGCTAAGATGAAGGAGAGAAGAAATCTCTATGGATTGGTTAAATCACTCTCCTTCTAAAGGCTCCATCCAACTAGCCTTCTTGATGAACCTAATACACATAATATTGTACCTCCTGTCTCCCTGCCTTTAAACAGGCTCTTCCCCGATGTGTGGAACGCCCTCCTTCCTCATGTCTGCCTCCTAGAGGCTCTTCTTTCCAAAACTCAGCTCTGTTGCCCTCCAACATGAAGTCTTTTGTGATTCTCCCCAGTTATTAGTGCTTCCCTGACAAAAAGATTACCTTGTACTTATTATGTATATACTTAAACATGTACATGTTGCGTTCCCCTAGAGTATATAAACTCCTTGAGGGCAGGGACCCTTTTGTTTTTGTCTTCCTGTCCCAGCACCTAGCACAATGCCTAGTACATAATAACTTTTTTGATTGGTAAATATCTAACAAAAGGGGCTTATTTCCTTATTTTATTCTGGTCTTAGAGAAACAGCATGCAGTTGTATGTATTTTAAGCAGCTACTTAAATGCATGAAATGTACAATGCTCTGCTAGTACTTGGAATCATCACAAACTCAGCTGTATTACTGCAGATCAGTGGAAGTGGAATTGAGACAGTGTACTACATCTTACTTTCCAAGTGAAGGGAAATAATAGAACCTCTTGTCTCCCTTCAGAACATAAAAAGGCTACTGCAGAATCCCAAAGTAACCGAATTTGATGCTGCACGCTTGGTGATGCTTTATGCCCTGCATTATGAACGGCATAGCAGTAATAGCCTTTCTGGACTGATGATGGACCTCAGAAATAAAGGTGTTTCAGAGAAGTATCGCAAGGTAATCTTTATAGAAGGCTCTTTAATCAGATTGAGGGGTAAGGGAGAAGAGGAGGTGTTATAAAGTAGCTTGCCTTTTGGGAAAATAATTTAGCTAGGAAATGCCAACTTCGAAAGTACCTTTTTGTGAATAAAAACATAGTGATTTGTGGTTGAGTTATCAGAAACAATCCAGTAGATAAAATATAGAATGTCTTATTTACTGGCTGGAGGGTTTAGGATTTGGCTAAGACATAGGGAAAATTCTGTATGGAATAGACTTCTGGATCACATAACCAACAAGATAGAGGAGTAGACGTATTTCCTCTGATCTTCATAACTTCTCCAAAATAAGAATTATGTGCAAGAGATAAAGCAATTTTAGCTGTCCACAGTCCAGGTCACTGAGAATCCTAAAAAGGTATCCATGCAATGAACTAACAGCAGAGGAGTGCTAACTCTTAACAGACTTACTTAGTACCTCCTCTCTTATCACCCACCATGCTCTAGCAGCAGAGCTGTGCAGGCAGACCTTGGGCTTACAACAGAATTCCACTCTACTCTCCATACCCCTCCTCTCAATGCCACTAGAAAGCCAAAAGGCGGAATCTCCCTTAGGCTGAGACTGCCATGCGGTAGTACTCTGCCATAACAGATCTCAGCTAGAGAATTGAGGAACAGAGAACTGGAGCAGGACATATGTGTGACTGTATGGCACTTCACTAAATCTGAAAAGAGCCCAGCATCCAGCTGTCACTCCAGAAATCACTTGGAGCAGAGACCAAGGACTGTGAAAATCAAATTGTTTAGCATGGGACAAGCCTACAGGGAAAAACTTCAATCAAAGGAGGAGGAGTCAAAAGTGAGCAACAGGGGAAAATGAGGGGGAAAGATTGAAATTACTAAAGATCTCAAGAGGAAGAAAATTCAATTAAGACCTTGAGCATAAAGAGATAAACCAACAGGGAAGATATTGATAATATGAGGGGATGCGTCCTTCAGATCAGCTAAAAGAATACAAACATCTATGAATAAAAATACTATAAGACAAAGGGAAATTATTTGACATCTGCTGAGGCAGAGGACTCTGTAGACTCCCTAGAGAGTATGGAACCACAGCAGGTCGTTCCTGAAAAATGTAAAAGAGAAATAAGAATTATGAAAGCCGAATTTATTGCCTGCACAACAAAAATAAGTGGCAGAATAAAAAAAAATTTAAATGCATGGTGGCAAGTCTCACCAAAGAAACAAAAGCAAGAATAGCTGATTGGGAATGCAAATGTAGAGAGGTAAAGAACAATCTTGAAAAAGAGAAGCAAAAAGCAATAATGTTAAAAGAAAACATGATCTCCATACAAGCAAAACATATTGATTTCAAAGACAAGGGTGTGTAGAGACAACTTAAGAATTTTAGCACCCAGAAGAAGATAACAAATGAAAAAACCTGAACATCTCTGTGCAAGAAATAATGCAAGAAAATTGCCCTGAATGTATGAACACAAAAAACAAAGTGCTAAATGAAAGAGCCCACAGATTTCCTCCAAAAAAAATTTTTAAAAAGAATCCTATGCTACAAACTATGAGACATCCAGTAGTTAAATTTGACGGTTCCAATAACAAACAACAAATTCTGCATGTGACCAGGAAAATGTCTTTAGACATAAAAAGAAATTCAAATAACAAGACTTTTCTGCACTCACCAGAGAGGGGAATGGAATAATTTGTTCTGAAAAGCGAAAGTGTTCAAGATACCGCCCCTTGTGGCCTACTCTGAAAATCTGAGCCTAAAGATTAATGTTCAATAAAAAAGAAATGTTCGAAGCATTCGTATAAAGAAACCCAGACCTGAAGGATTTATTTGCTTTTTAAACATGCCAGACATGAAATACAAGAAAGCTGAACAAATACAGCAACCGATAATAAAAACAACAAAATAACAACAGAGCAACCATTAAGAGATTTCTTTCCAAAAGTACACAAGGAGTCAAGAGTGAAAGCAGAAGTGAAATAGAACTGATGGTGGGGAAGCATCATGCACTCACCTCACAACACCCTGCCTGTAGATAAATCAGTTTTTTCTGGAACTAAATTACAGAATGAGAGGGCACATAAAAGGGGAGGGAGGAAGGAAGAAGATAAAGGAGAATATGTGATATACCCTAACAACGAAGGGAAAATAACTCCTGTCATTTTTTAGGAAGAAGAGAGCCCACAGAGGAATGGTTCATGAGGCAAAGGGAAAAACTGAAAAGGGGGCAAATAAAGGGGAAAATCTTGTTTCAGTGGTCAGAGGAAATACCACTGATTAACGCTCGTATGGAGGAAGAAGGATATCCTGTAAATAGTGATGGGGACCTTCCAGTGGGTATAATCTGCAGTTCTTAGAGAAGACGGTCATCCTGCCTCAAGTGAAGGGGAACAGGCAAGTGACACCTCGAAGAGTGGGGAGGCACGGACCCAGGGAGAAGATTTCAAGGCACTTGGGGGGAAATGTCCATGGAAGAGGCAGTTGTTAATAATAAACTGCCCAGTCAGGGACATAGGAAAATTCAAACCATGGCACAATATCCTCTCTCTCACTTGCAGGAACTGATATTTCTAAGAGTGAAGCACAGCAGAAAAAGGGCAAAAAATCTGCAAGGCAATAATATAGAAACTGTTTAGAAGAGGTAACCTAAAATAGGTGCCTTAGAAGCTTTAATTCCATGAGGAATACAGAGACTAAAGAAAGTAAAGTAAGTATAAGTGTCATGAATTAAAGAATAACAGTCTAAAATAGGGAAGAAAATTAATGAAGAAAATAAGAAGAAATCTTTTGTAGGAAAAAGCACAAAAAATAAAATTTTAAAAACTTAACGAACAAAACGAGTTGAAAGGGATGAGATAGAAGGATTTTACTTGACTAATTAGCTGAAAGAAAAAAAGAAGGAGAATTAAATAACTAGGTAAAAGGAAGAAAGAAAAAGCAAATAAGCTAAGCAAAACTCCAAAACTAGGGAAAGGGATAAGAAACAAGGGAGGAGGGAAATGGAGGGTGAAGGGAAGAGAATGGGAATAGAAATGCCTTAAAGCAAATTAAGCTAAAATAACTGAAGAGATAAAGGAAAAGAGGGGAAAACCCTGATTTGGAAAAAAGAAATATTAGAAATATCATAACTCTAAATGTGAATAGATTGAATAACCCAGTAAAATGAAAAAGAAAAGTGACAGATCATCTGAATAAGAAAGAATCCTACAACATGTTGTTTACAAGAAATATTTAAAAAACAAAGACATACAGGAAAAAAATGAGGGAGGGGCTGGCTGAGAAAATTTTCAATGTATCAGGTGAATCCAAAAAATCAGGAATTGGAATCATGCTATCAGACAAGGCAGAAACAAACATTCATAATCTAAAAAGGGATAAAGAAACCACAATATGCTGAAAGGAACCATAGATGATAAACCAATATCAGTATTAAACTTACATGCTCCAAATGCCTTAGGATCTAAATTAATAAAGGAAAAATTAATTGAATTACTAGAAGACATAGACAGACATACAATAATGCTAGGAGTGTTCAATGTCCCTCTCTCAGTTTTGTGCAAGTCTAACATAAAGATAAACAAAGGAGAAAATGAAGCCTTGAATAAATTGCTGGAGAAATTGGAACTAAACAACTTTTGATGTCTTCTATATGGGACTGCTAAAGTGTTTTGTGTGTGTATATGTGTGTCTGTGTGTGTGATTGCACCACCTGGAATTTTTTTTTTAAAGTTGACTATGTATATGAGCACAAAATGATTACAAACAAATGTAAAAAGTAGAAATAGCAAACATCTCCATTATAGACCATAATATAATAAAAATACTAATAAGTTTAGAGAGCACAAAGAAAAGATGTAGACCCAAATGGAGATTTAACAATAAATGGTGGGTCAAATCACAGAAACAATAATCATATGGAAAGAAATAATGATACAACATAACCAAAAATTATGGGGTACAGCTAAAGCAGTCCTTAAAGGAAAAATCACATCCCTATAAACATAGTAACAAAATAGAAAAAGAGAAGATAAATGAACTGAGTGTGCATTTTTAAAAATTTGAAAACCAATAAATAAACCTGAAATAAGTACAAAGGAGATTTTTTTTAAATTAGAGGAGGAATAGATAAACTGGAAACCCACCCAAAAAAAGCTCTAGAGAAATTATGAATAAAATTAAAATCTAGTTCTTTGAAAAGACTAATAAAATTGATAAACTTTTAGCCAATCTGTTTTTAAAAAATGGGCAGAAAATCAAATCAACAAAATAGTAAACAGGTAAAATCACAACAAAACCAGAAGGAATAAGAATTATCAGAGCTTACTATGCACAGTTATATGCTAATAAAACTGAGAACACAAAAGAAAAAAAATGTAAAATACTCAGACTAAAAGAAGACCAAATAGAGATCTTAAATCAGTCTCAGAAAAGAAAACAGAATTAGTTGTAAAGGAACTAACGAAGGCAGAGGTGGTGGGGGTGGTCAGGGAACAACTCTTGGTCCTTATACTTTCGTTTGAGAATTCTATTATATTTTTAAAGATTATTTTTAAAGTTGTTATTTAAAATTATTTAAATTTTAAAAATTATTCTCAAAAACTGAGGAAGAAAGCACTCTAACAGATTCCCTTTATGGGACAAATGTAGTCCCACTACTTAAACCAGGGAAAGATAAAGCATAGGAGAAATGTAGACCAATATCATTAATGAATATCAATTCAAAATTTTCAAATGAAATTCTATTGCACAGACTACAAGTGATTCATCCAAGAAATCATCATGACCAAGTTGGATTTATACCAGTAATTCAAGGATGGTTCAACAGTGGGAAAACAATCAACTTAATTATGTTAAAAACAAAAACATGCGGAACCACAGAATATCCCAATAGGTTCAAAAAAAGCCTTTTTTTAGCCATTTATGCTAAAATCCTTAGAAAGTATGGGCATAAAGAAACTTTTTCTAAATTTCATAAAAGGTATCTTTCTAAAACTAAAAGTAAGCATCATAAGCAATGGTGATACACATGAACCTTTCCCAGTAAATATGAGAGTAAAGTAAAAATGTTTAATCTTCGCATTTTTATTTGTTACAGTTCTGGAAATGCTAGCCATAGCAATAAAACAAAAGAAAGAAATCAAAGGTATAAAGATAAGTCAAGAGGAAATAAAACTATCCCTATTTGCTGATGATATGATGATTAATTTAGAAAATCTTAGGGAGTCATGAAAGATAGTAATTGAGATGATAGCTTCAGCAAAGTTGCAGGCTATAAAATAAACCCTCAGAAATCAATAGTATTTTTATAGAAGGGTAGTAACACAATCCAAGAGGCAATAGGAAAAAGGGAAATCCCATTCTAAAGAACTATAAAATGCATAAAAATCTTTGGAGATCAGTCTACCAAAGCACACAGACAACCTGTGTAGATTCAGTTACACAGTTCTTAAAGGAATGAAGAACAATTTAAATAACTGGAGGAATATTCAGCACTTGTGGCCCAGCCAATGTAATATAATAAAAATGACAGTAGTACCAAAATTAATTTATACTGATGATGCTATACCAATCAAATTATCAAAGGGATACTTTACAGAGCTCAATAAAATAATCAAATTCATTTGGAAAAAATAAAAGATCTAGAATATTAAGGGAAATGATGGAAAGAAGTAAGGACAAAGGGGAAATGGTACTTCCTGACCTCAAACTCTGTTATAAACCAGCAGTTATCAAAACCATCAGGTAGTGGTTAAAAAATAGAGAAGTCAGACAGTGGAACAAACTGGACAAGGGGGAGTCAGAAACAATGGAACTTAATAATCCAGTTTTTGATAAACTGGAAAACATAAATTACTTTTCTATTTTTCCAAATAGGAAAGAATCCTTTATTTGATAAAACAAACAAACTACTGGGAAAATTAAAATGCAATCTGGTAGAAATTAGATCTAGACCAATACCTTATACCATATTCCATATGGATATGAGACCTTAATATTAAAGCTTTAGTAGAAAATTAGAAGAAAAGCAAATCATATGCCTCTCACAACTAAGAGTAGTTAATGTATTCTTTTTAAAAATATATTTTTATTTCAATAAATATTTCCCAATTACATGTTAAAAGTTTTTTAACTTTTTTTTTTTTTTTTGGTGAGACAATTGGGGAACTTGCCCAGGGTCACACAGTTAGGAAGTATCAAGTGTCTGAGGCTGGATTTGAACTCAGGTCCTCCTGACTCCAGGGCCAGTGCTCTATCCACTGCAACATTCATTTTTTAAAATTTTGAGTGCCAAATTATCTCCTTCCTTCCCATCTCTTACCCCTGGAGAAGGCAAGCAATTTGACATGGATTATGTGTGTAAAGTAATTCAAAACATATTTAGGAGATGTGGGGTTTTTTTGTTGTTGTTTTGCTTAGGCAATCAGGGTTAAGTGACTTGCCCAGAGTCACACAGCTAGTAAGTGTCAAGTGTCTGAGGCTGGTTTTGAACCCAGGTCCTCCTGAGTCTAAGGCTGGAGCTCTATCCACTGTGCCACCTAGCTTCCCCGAGATGTGTTTTTAACAAAACAATGGATGGAAGCAATCACAGAAGACAAAATAGATAACTTTTGATTATGTGAAGCTAAAAAGCGTCTGCACAAACAAAATAAATGCACCTAGGATAAGAATTAAAGCAGTCAAAGGGGGTAAGGGTTTGGTATCCAAGATATATAAACAATTAATAGATTAGACCAGAAGCCATTTTTCATATATAAGTGGTCAAAGGTTATAAAACAAACTTCTCAAAAGAATTGCAAACTGTTAACAACTATGTAAAAGAATATACTAAATCCCTAATAATAAGAGAAATGCACATCAAAACAACCCTGAGGTTTCACCTCACACCTTGAAAATTGGCAAAGATGGCAGAAGATGAGAAGTCAGTCTTGGAGAGGTTGTGGAGAAGAGACCCACTGGTGCATTATAGGCAGAGCTGTGAATCAGTATAACCATTTTGGAAAGCGATTTAGAGTTATGCAAATAATGTGACTAAAATGTCCATTCCATTTGACCCAAGGATTCTGTCGCTGGTTATATACCCCAAGGAAACAATTAAGATGAAAGATCCCATATACACTAAAATATTTGTTACAGCACTTTGTGATAAGCAAAAAACTGGAAATAAAGTAGAGTCCAACAGTTGTGGAATGGCTAAACAAATTGTGGTACATGAATGTAATGGAATGTTACTGGGCTATAAGAAAGGACAAATGTGATGAATGCAGAGAAGAATGGAAAGATCTACATGAACAGATGCAAAGTGAAGTGAGCAGAGCTAAGAAAACAGCATACACAATGGCTGCAGGGATGTAAGTGGAAAACAAAACTACCAAAAAAATCAAAAGGTAGCGTTGCAAAATTATGAAGCACAAGCATAGCTCAAAGGAAGAGCTCTGAGAAGACATCCCCCAGCATTGTGCAGAGGTACAAGTGGTATACATTTCACTTATTTTCAGACTTTTTCAACGTATTTGTCAGGCATGCTGATTTGTTTCCTCTTTTTTTTTCTTTTATAGTCTTTAAAAATAATAATTTGTTATATGGGATGGCTCTCTGGGAAGGGGGAGGAGAAGGGATACTGGGGGAAATTATGGTGATGTAAAAAGCAAAATACACCAATAAAAACTTATTTAAAACAACCACCCAAAAAATACACAATATGACTTTACTTACTGTATGTGACTTTACCTCTTAGAAAGGAATGTGATTAGAGCTAGTCATTTGTGAGATTTGTCCAGAGACACTGCCTTGTAACTAGGGTTTCTTCTCTTTCTCTGTAGCTGGTGCCTGCCCTTGTTGAATATGGTGGCAAACGAGCAAGGGGAAGTGACCTCTTTAGCCCCAAAGATGCAGTCGCTATTACCAAGCAGTTCCTCAAAGGATTGAAGGTATTAAAATCTCTCATGTTTCCGTAGATGAGAAATAGCTGAAGGTCAAGAGGTTACAAGTGAGTAAATGAATAAATACAAACTTCAAAGTATCTTTTTTTTTTTTGCAAGGCATTCGGGGTTTAGTGACTTTCCCAGAGTCACAGAGCTAGTACGTGTGAAGTGTCTGAGGCTGGATTTGAACTCAGGTCCTTCTGACTCCAGGGCTGGTGCTCTATCCACTTCACCCCAAACTTTAAAGTATCTTAAAATTGTTGTTGATTGGATGCCATGTCAGTTAAGTGATTAGAATAGATGTCCTAGAGAAAGTTTCATGTAGGCAGTTAGGTAGCTAGCACAGGGGACAGGGGATTGGATTTTGAGTCCAAATCCTGAATCCAAGTATGACCTCAGACACTCACTAGCTGTGTGACCTTAGGTAAGTCATTGAACTTCATCTGTAAAATAGGGATCATAATATCACCTACCTTACAAGGTTGTTGTGAGGAGAAAATAAAATAACATAGTAAAGTGTTTGGTAAACCTCAAAGTGATATTTAAATGCTGACCAATATTATTATTTAGGAGTTTTCAGTATTGGAATAGTATTGGCACAGAATTTAATAGTTGAGTAGGAAATAGTGAAAATAAGTTCTGGTAGATGGAGGTAGCTGGCAGTGCAATGGATAGGTCACTGGGCCTGGAATCTGGAAGATCCGAGTTCAAATTTGGCCTCAGGTACTTACTAGGTGTGTGACCCTGGGTAAGACACTTAATCTGTAAAATAGGGATATTACTATAACCTCCCTCACAGAGTTGTTATGAGAATCAAATGAGATAATATTTATAAAAAGCACTTAGCACAGTGCCTACCACATAGTAGGTGCTATGTAAATGCTTATTCCCTTCCCCTAGTAGATATTTAAGGCTGAAAAGACAAACAATATAGTTATTAGACCTAGTGAATTTTCTCTCATGCCTTTCCTTTTCCCTTCTGTTCCACTTATCATTTTTAATACCAAATAACATCGCCAAAGGAAATCATTGAAGAGGGGGTGATAAGTTTATAAAAATCCTTTTCATTTCCTAGCTCTAAATGATACAGTATTTTCTACAGGGTAGGAATACCTGACGATGAGGTAAATATTGAAATGAGTCTAGAATTCAGTTTTAAAACTATTTCATAGAACTCTCCATCTGTTTTTGATCTGAGTGTCATTAATGTGTTTATATTGCAAAATATCTCATGAGTGACATAAGAACCATTTCCCTCTGTCTTAGGGAGTGGAAAATGTTTATACACAGCATCAGCCTTTCCTCTATGAGACACTGGATCACCTCATCAAAGGGAAGCTTAAGGAAAATCAGTTCCCTTACTTAGGCCCCAGCACACTGAGAGACAGGTAAGAGCAACAACAAAGAAAAAAAATCCTTAATGACACAGACCAGGAAAGATGAACCCAGAATAAAGCTAGGGCAAATTAAGGAGACCCTCTCTTCCAGAGTACCAGTGAGGCTGAGAAAAGTGACAGTTCTTTTGGCACCAGGAGCTAGCTCCAAGATTGAGATATGGTCATGTGAAACATTTGCCTGGTCCTCAAACACACCCATTTTTTGAAGTCAAGCTTCAGCCATTCCTGCTTGTTAGAATCTGACCAATCTTCTTGTGTACCCGCCAAGCTCAAGCCCATGGCATCTGGGGCTTGTAGCATAAACGCCCAAAATAAATTCAGTACTTGCTTATGATCCAAAGCAGGTTGTTGCTATTTTTGGTTGTGACTGGACTTTGCCAAATGTGGACAGCATGCAAGCTGAGAACCCTACTTAGCGAAGTCACGGTTGCTAAATTACACAATCCATGGATGGCTTTTGTCACGGGGACTGCCTAAAGGAAGCAGTTGGTTGAAATGATCCTTCTAATCCACGATCAGGCAGTTGTGCCAAAAACAAAAACTTGTCCACCACAGCTTAGACTAGACTGAATTATGAAGCATGTACACATGTAGTACCTAGTACTAGAATTGGTGCTGATGTTCTAAATCAAGACCATATGTGCGATGCATTAGAGATCTAGATGATTGTACAGCGCCTAACCTGTTTTGGGGAATTTACATGGAATCCTAGTGGTAATGTTTCTGTTATTTCCATAATTACTATACTATTTTAGCTAATAGTTGTAGTTCAGAATCCTTGAAATAACAAGACTTTACAAGCATGATTAATTTCCTAAAAGCATTGTGACAAGCATTGCCAAATCTTTTTTGGAAGAATATAATTCCTTCCTTTTTTCCAAAAGCCCTCTCTCAAAAATCTCTGCAATTCCCATGAAAGAAGAGGGAAATGACCTTTTATAAACCCAGGGCCTGCTAGCAGAATGTTTGGAGTTAAATTCAGAACACACAGTCATTCAGATGAAATATATTAGAGATCTCAGGATCAGGGTTCAGAAATATCAGCTGAGTGGGCAGAAAGGAAACCAGTCCAAGCCTTGTTAGCCATTTGCTATATAGTTTGAGAAATAGACTTCAAGGCTCATCCTTCTTTCCATTCATCATTCCTCGATGGACTATGGGGCATTACAGTTAGTCAGATAAGAGTAAAAACTGTATTTTACAGGGAATTATGACTTTCGTATAAGAAAAGCTATGGGACATCAGTAATATACTATTTACATCTTAAATGGAAAACTATGAGTCACAAAAGAAATTTTGTCTGTGGTTTATTTATGTTAACCCACCTCTCTGATTTCTGAGGATTAATTTCCAACAGGTTCAAAATGGGGTCATTTTAACAGCACGTACAGGTCTTGCTGCTGTTTCCTGCCACTCACCTGAAGGTGTATCCAGATAACAGTAAAACTGCTTTTTACAGCAGGATGTCTGCAGGGGGCCTTCGCAAACCTGGCATTGGTTTTCATTCATTGTGAAACGCTAGCTCAAAAACTACACACACACACACACACACACACACACACACACACACACACACACACTCTCCCTCTCTCTCTCTTTCTCTCTCTCTCTCTCTCTCTCTCTCTGTCTCTCTCTCTCTCTGTCTCTCTGTCTCTGTCTCTGTCTCTCTCTCTCTCTCTCTCTCTCTCTCTCTCTCTCTCTCTCTCTCTCTCTCTCTCTCTCTCTCTCTCTCTCTCTCTCTCTCTCTCGGAACCAGTGATCTAATACCTTGGACTTGTGCTCTTTCGAGGATACCATTGGGTTCTTTTGGCCAGTTGAGGTCTTCGTTAACAGTTTGATGAGATGAATACATGGTTACAGTCAAAAATCAAAATTTTATTTGGCTCTAATTTGCTCCCTTTATTATTAAAAGCCAGAGAAGGACCCGTAAAACTACTGGACACACACTAAGTCATTTGTAATAAAAATACACAGCAGGAACTCCTTCAAATTTGCCTTGGGGAGTGGGGGATGAGAGGTTTGTGTTTTGCTGATCTGTAGAATTACTGTAATAACTTAGGTTTTTATAAGCTTGCCATTTACAAAATGTTTTCTTATGTATCATCTAATTGATAACAGTAATCTCTGTTTGGTATGTGAAGAAACTTAATTCTCAGCCAGGTTGTCACTTTGCCATGATCGTATGCTTGTATGGCAGAGGCAAGACTCGAACCCAGGGCTTGTGACTCTCTGCCAAAGGCTTAGCCCACGGTTGTAATAATCATTTTTGATAATGTATAGTACTTTCAAGTTTATCAAGCACTTTCCTCACAAACTCCCGGTACCACATAGGTCATGATCTCAGAGAACTGAAGCAGCTCCCCAAGTCATGCAGCCAGTGAATGTCCAGCAGGAGTCAGTTCCTGTTCCTTCCTGAGTCCACTGTATTCTCTCTCCTGTCTTTCAGAAGGAGAACACTTAGAGTTGTAGGAATCGAAGTTCAGGTTGTGCCCTGCCCCAGGCCTCACAGGTAGTAAGTAGTAGAAGCTGTGGTCTCTTAACTCCAGACCATCTCAGACCTGCCACAGTCCTCAGCTCCCAGTGAGAGTCCTGGTCCCTGATGTGGTCCTCACCAGATGAGAGGAGAGGAGGGAATCCAGTGACTAACTGTGGTCTTTCTGGGAGTGAGTGTGCTGAACTTGAAATGAAGAGAACGGGGCTCTTCTACCAGCCCCACCATTTAGCAGCTGTGATCATGGGCAGGTCAGTTGACAGTTAACAAGCATTTGGCACTTAGTGTATGCCAGCCCTGTACCAATTCCGTAATAATGTCATCATGTGTAACCTAGGAATCATAATGGTTTTGCTGCCTACCTCGTGGAGTGGGTGGGGTGAAATCTATTTGGAAACCTTGGAAAGGGTCCTAACATGTGAGCTTTCATTTGGTTGCTCTTTATGCCTCATCATTGATAGAACTTTCTCAGTTTTATTCTCAAATACTGCAAAAGAAAATATAGCAAGAACAAAAAATCAATAAGAAAAAGCTAGTGGCATAGTGACAATTTTCTAACTGAATGGTACATTTTTATCTGCTACGTAGACAATGTATATTACTTAAATAGTGTAGCCTAAGAAGAAACAACCCCAGTCATGCAGAGAGAAAGCACTCACAGATGAACCCTAGCTCCATTGGTTCACATCCCACATTTTATATGACACTCTAAGCTTCTACCACAACAATTTGATGAGGTGGCCATTGGAAGAATAGAGTTGAATCATATCCCATCTCCATGCTTATGTAATCATGACCATCTGAAACTCTGATACCTGATTTTGTTTTACACTGCTTTCCCCCTTAATTATCCTGTAGACCCTTTGGGGGGGGGGAGGGTTTCCTTAACTCTACTGTATCTCAGGTGGATAAAAGGAAGAAAGATTTTTATCCACCCCTAGAGCAGGAGAGCTCATCTTTAATACCAGTCTAGGGCTGGTGACAGCACAAATGGACATATTTAGGGTACAGGCATTTTAGAAAGTAAGGGAAACATGACAAGTTTGTGAGTGCTGGCCCCTTCCTACCTGGCCTTGTTTCTTTATGCAACACTTTTTCTTTGGTGTAAAGTTTTCAAGCCTTCAACTATTAAATTAAATTAGATTGCAGTATAGCCATATCCACAAATTGGGTTTGGAGACAGGTACTGCCTAGAGAATCTTACTCCTTCTACAAGGTAGATTTCCATTATGCTTTTTTGTTAGTTTGCTTTCTTACTCTGAAACTGCCCACTGCTCATCCTTGATAGAAACAAGCACTCTGAGAGGCTGGTGAAAAGATGGAACTGCGTGAGTACGCATTCCAGGGGGAGTTAGTTCAAAGAAACTGCGTTCTCCCTTTTTTCAGTAGTTCAATAAGGTCTTAGTAGAACCGTTTATTTGGGGTACCATGAAAGGGTCAGTCTTTTTTTGCTGTAGCAGCTTTTGTCAACTTCAGTTAAGTACTTATGCCTACAATCCATGAGTATCTTTAAAATTAGTATTTCTACAATGCTAATAAAAATGATACTTTTCATTAACACTTGGTTTTCTGCTTATGTTTTCCATATTTGGCAGTACTGATTTCTAGAAGAATTGGAGGTGAAAGTTTGTTGTTTGTTTGTTTGTTTTTTAAACAGTTTGATGCATAGCCACCTGGGTTCTCAGGGTATCCTTGTGTTTCTTTTGGTAGTTCACTCCTTTTGTGTGTCCTGACTGCTGTTTTCAGATGTTTGCTTTCTGCATTAATTAACGCTTCCAGTTGCCATGGTGAATCACTGAGCATGGGGAGATGTACACAAAGGAGTGAACTTGTATACCCTTCTTGGCTTTGACCATCACACCAGAAGATTTACTGTATATCCCACCACTGGCATCATCAGCTCAGTGTCTTTCATTTTTAAAATCATCAAGGGAAGGGAATAAAAAAGAGAATTATCAAGGATATGAGATGGAGTGGAGAGGAGGTGATAAGGGAATGTTATTGTTATTGTTGTTGTTATTTTGTATTCTTCCTCCATTGCACTTGAGTAAGATGTGGGAGGCTCAGGGAAACATTTCTTAATATTTCTGTAGCAAAATCTGACAGCATCATGTTTCTTAGGCACACAGGGAGCTTAGCTGCTCCCTTTCACTGCCCTTGTATCTGTGCTTTCACTTACATTTATATAACTACACCCACAGTTTACCATCCCAAGCACTCTCTTCATTTTCAAGTAAGTGCAACTCAACAAAAATTCTCTGACATCCTAAAATTACCAGGTTTTGGTACTTTATGCTCTGGTTGTACTAAGAGCCTACTTCTGTTCATTTCTTCTCATGCCTGAGTTCCATATAAACTTTCTTTCCGACAAGAGGCAAGTGTACCCCAGAAGCAGGTGGTGGTCAGAGTTAAGCCATGGAGAACCAGCATCATGTTTCCTGGAGGCCCTCATTAGACAGCTCTGTCCATTTTTTTTTTAACCAGGTAGATTAAAAGCATGAAGCAAAGGTATTATCTCTTTATCTCCTGATGGGGAGTGGTCACTAACCTGTTTAGAGATTGAAGCAGCGTTCCTTTCTCCTTATTGGAATAACCTAGGTAATTTTTAGGGACTTAATTTTTTTAACTACCTAGAGTAGCCTTTTTACTCACCATAAGTAGGGTAGCATGTGAGAAATTAATAGTTAGGGAGCTTCATTTTCCAATAATGTAGCATGTTCTGTGTCCAAAGGGCTTCCATTGATTCTAAATATCTTGACAGGCCATTTAAAAAATTTTGATATCTGCACACTAACCTGCCCCTGTATATTTGCATTCTAAACTTTGCTACTTGGTTGACTGCCCTCAGGTCCATTCATGTTGTCATGCTCATGTATGTGACCCTCAGAACCAAAATATGTCCTTTTTGATGAAATAATTCTGATTGTTTCCCCTAGCCAATGATCTTGCTAGGCAGAACAAATTTCATTGGCAGAGTAAACAATTTTAAGACTTTTCTCCATTTGCCATAGAAAGTATGGTCAGGGTTTTATGGCTCAGTGAAGGCATTTCTAATTAAATCCAATTACTGATTATTCAGTCCCCTCCCTGTAACATTCCTAGAGAATCTAAGGACAGACCTCGAGTTTCAGCCTCTTCCCTCTTTCTAGGGGAAATGCTAATGAGTAATAAAATGGCCCAGATCCATGGGAAAAGAAGAAACTGAGGGTCTATTGCGTAATCCACAGAATAATTCGGCCCCTGAATTATTGCAGGTTCACAGTACTTAACAAAAACCAAAGTCCTAAAACCATACTGCTTTACAGTGGGACTACACTAAGCAAGGAGAGACTCCATCAGTAGTGAAAGGAAGGGCAGGAAGGAAGAAGTCTAGATGCTGCAGGAAGTGTTAATGATACATGAAAAATAAAAATGCTTTTCTCTGTATTTCTAAAGATCATCTCTCCTTGGCACCTAAAGTACCAAGTTAGCATCATAGTAATATCTCACTCCAGCTAAGGGAAACTGTTCTATTCATAATGCCATCTTTCAAGTCAGTTTAGAGAACAAGGCCATTTATAATGGTGGAAGATTCTTTTTGTGGGGGGAAGGGGAATGTGGAGAGGGGTACTTATGAACAGAAGGCCTTAGCCTGGGATTTTTGGCTGTGTTCCAAAATGGGTAATCGCGTTCTGACTTCCCCAAATTCTCCTTGTGCTCTGAGTCAGAGCAAACATCTTAGGTTCTCTTCTTCTGGACAGAGGCCTGATGTTGTGGCTTGGGAGTTAAAGGACAATTGCATTTTAACCCTTCTGTGGCCACTTTAGGAGGTGATTTCCATATAAGCACATATGTTTATGAAGCACTTGGGAGATGCTGTATGGACAATTCAAGAAAAGGCAGTTTTTGAGAATTGTTTATTTGCGTATGTAAGTGTACACACACGTGTGCTCATGATGAGGTCCTACTTAGCTAATGATTTAATCTCTCTTAGCCTTTAACTTAGTGGTTCTATTTTGGGCAAATACAAGGTTCCTACCAAACCTTAGTCTTTAATAAGGATTTTTTGCCTTTAGTTTGGTAGCTAGGCAATAGATTGTGCAAATCAGAAGGTAGAACAAAATGTATCTCTACAGCATTGGGAAACTTCCCTCATATTAAAAGTCGCTTCTCACTCTCATTTGCCTATACGATTTGAAGTGTGACAGCAGACGAGTACCTGTTACTTTAAGAAGTCTCACAACAAGCAGCTCCAGCTATTAATATTACAGTCTAACTACAGAACAAAAATTAGCATTTGGAAGAAAGTAACCTACCCAGAATCCAGTGGTGAATTAAGGCTGAGAGCCAGTGATACTCCAGAGGCAAGCTCTCCACCTTTGATAAGGGCACTCTTTCCAGCCACCAGGAAAACTACATAATGATAGGGTCAGCACTGTCCTGCCCCAGGAGTGGGCTGTTAGCTTTTCCCAACATAACCGTTTTGTGTGGTTAGGTCTCCATGCAGAACCAAATTCCTGCTACTCACCTTAAGATGCTGGATCTCCAGAGGTGAAACTCAGGCAGAATTCAAATGGTGGAGTATGTGGGATGGAGGTGTTAAAAATGCAGATCCATCTTTTCTTCTTGGAAGAACATCAAGGTACACCCTTCTTTGGTAAACTAAAATGTGCTGAGACATACCCCCTGTTCTCTGCGCCTGTGGAGGTGAAGACAGCTTGCTATTTCAGCCTTGCAGCTGTTTTTCTACAAAGTCCAGCCTTCTTTTTTCATTGTTTAGTCTCAAAGGCAAGCTATATGCATTTCCAGGGATTTGGTCATAAGTCCCAAAGCTGTTGTAGACCCATCCCCCCAGATGGTCCTTTTTGCCCAGATCAAAGGCCTGAACTTTAGAAGGCACAGATTGTGGACACTTGACCATGAATTGAACATGGAAAAAGGCCAAGAGGAAAAAAAAAAAAGACTAAAGGAATAGGGTTATTACTGAAGAGAAAAAGAAGCGTTGACTATTTTAAAATAATTGCTGAATATGTAACATTTTTATATTGTATGAAAATACAAATATTTATATTATATGAAAATAAATCACGTTGCTTAAATGGGAAATAAATGCATGGGGCTTTTGTCTCAGTTTGCCTATGTTGCATGAGGTAGATCGTGTTTTGATTTTATGAAATGAATTTAGGATTGGTGGCAGTGTGAGTTAAAGTTCAGGTCTCAAAGTGAAATTTCAGAAAGGGCTTCCTAACCCATTTTTTAGTTGAAAAATAAATAAGCTCTATCCAAGAGGACTGGTTCCTTTCATGGGTTCCCCTACGATGCAGTAACCACTTAAATAGGTGTTTATAACTATCACCAATTGCTTTTATTCCCTTTGAGTTTCGAGAGAGAAGGTGAATGCTACAGAATGCCCCACTGACTTTTTGGAAGTGTTTTTGAGGCAGTAACAGAAGGGACATGGCTTTTGCTTTTTTGAGAGTCACACGCCCTGATTGAAAATGGTTCTTTGCAGTATAAGTGCTGCAGTAGATGTTTCCATTTAATTCACGGGTGTAGTCTTAATTAATGTGCAGTATGCGATTTGACACAAACACTCTTGATTTCAGTGGTTCTCTCCATGCAGTAGCTTAAGAAACAGTGAGCCCATGAGAGGCGAAACAAAACAGACCTTGGTGATTTCGTCATTCACACCGATTTTTTCCCTTTTGCTCTAAGAGATGATAGCAGACCCAGGACGATTTTATATGGAGTCACTTTGGTAAAAATGGAAAATCAGTGAAACAGCTCAACAGTGTCTAAACCAGCTCAGCAGATGAGTCATTGGCGAGTTGAAAAACCATACCCCTTTACATTCGATATTCTCGATTTAGCAAAGGTTACGAGTGTGAAGGTTTCTGGAGAAAGTGGAGGTTGCTACCTGTACAAAATAAATGCTCTTATCACATAGGGAAGACCAAGTGCCTCAGAACTACAGTGCTTTCTGAAGTTTGGGGTAGAGGCTGCTGTCACCACATTCTACCAAATGTGGCTCAAGTGCTGATACATGAAAGGAGATGTTTAGCACAAGCATAAATTATTTGTACATTGAAAGCTGATTCCACAATACAATAAAGCACTCGGGAGCTTCTTGAATATAAAAGATTATTTCTTCATTTTGTCCCCACAGCCATTAGTGTGCTATTTTAAAACCCACTGTATAGGGATTATAGGACATCCGCTCATAAATAAAAAGTAAATGATTATTCGGCATTTCCAAGATTCTGTTTCCTGCCAATTTAGATAAATCAAACTTACTTGAACCCTTTCATTCTGTACTGTTTTAGTCACTTCCCTGCACGCGCCCCCTACCCCCGGCCTCTAGTCTCTCCCTCTTTCCCAACCAAAATCATTGAAACTCTGTGCATAAATGATGTCAAATTCCGGCCTTCATTTTATTATTCCATAGTACTAACTCTGTCCTCCTTTACTGCAGACCTCAAGATATCATCGTATTTATAATTGGAGGGACCACCTATGAAGAGGCGCTCACAGTTTATAATTTGAACCGCACCACTCCTGGAGTTAGGATTGTCCTGGGAGGAACCACAATACACAACACAAAAAGGTACAAGACACAGCAACACCAGCTCTACCCCAGGTAGCATGACTCACATCCCCTGTGGATGAGAAAGGTTTGCTCATGGAGGCTGCTTGTCCCAGAGCGCTGGCTCACACATTGGTTTGGTGTTAGTCCATGGAGTCTATCCTTTGAGACTCTTCTCAATTACTTTGTTAAGGCACTGGTCTAAAGAGTAGGGGCCAGGGCAGTGCCTTAATGTAAGAAATCTATTGTCCTTGTATCTCAGAGGAGAAAGAAACTTAACCACAGACACTGGATCATTGAAAATTCCAAGCCGTACTGATAGCTCCTACTTCTATACCGATTTAAATTCTAAAAAGCATTTTTCTCACAACGCTGTTGTGAGATAGGCGTAAATGTTGTCATGAGAGATGTGAAGATTCTCACCTGTGTGACTATATAGTTAATAAGTGTGTTGATAGTAGGATTCAAACCCAGGTCTCCAGACCCCCAGGATCAACGCTCTTTCTACTATAACATGCTGATGTTGGACATCTCTGGGCTTCCCCATTTTGATAGTAAACTTCAAACTTCTCTTTATTCATCCTTTCCTTCCAGCTGCTTCTCCTTCCCCAAAATAACATCCTCAAAGGTTTTTCAGAAAATGACAACATAGTCATCACTTGATCACCCGTACTGAAGAACAGGAGCAATGTCACACATAACCCAGAAGTTACAGAAATTTGGCTTCACGGGGCATTATATCAGTTTTCTTGAAGAAAATTTACGTTTCTTAATTATGTTTAGCATTGGCTAATGATAAAATGATTTTGCATTCCCATAGCATCTGAACATTAAGAGAATGGCGATTGAGAGGGAGAGCCATTTAGGATACTCTGTGAATAGCAGTAGGTGGGTCATGTGCGTCTAATCGAGAAGTCATATTCTTTTATATCTCCCGTCTTCCACAGTCCAGTCTTACAGTTCTGCCCTCCCGTGCCAGCTGCTAACCAAGCAAAGATTTAAGGATTCTATCCATTCTTCACTCCCTCCCCCTTCAGAATATACAAAACTCCCTCGTCTTGTAATGAAATCATTCAGTCTGCTGTGTTATAAACTAACTCATCAGAAGAGAAAAGTAAGAAGGAATGAAACAGGTGACCCACTCCCATTTGCTGTAATAGAAATGTGGTGAAACCAAAGATCCAGGAGGGGAGGCCTGCTGGCCACACCGTGGAAGTTATTCAGCAGCTGCTCAGTCTCAGAGTTTCTTTGGGATACTGAGTACTAAGAGTAAAATGGTCACTATGGGTTCTGCCTCTGACAAGATAAAACAGTTGTGACTTGGCTCTGCTTTATTCCACTTTGAAAATAATTATGTGATCTTATTGAGAAGGTCATTCCTATATCTTAAGATGGCAGGAGATTTGATTGGCCATCAAACCTCTCTATATTTCTAATCATCTTTATTAATGGCTTATAGATAAGGCAAAATAATAGGTAGTACAAATGATTTCTACTTGGCTTTGGGATGAATTATGGGAGTTTTTGGTTGCAGTGATACTTTTATGCTTAAATTTGGTTTATATTAATATTGGAATTAATTTGCTTTCCCAAAGTACATTTTGGGCAGTAGGCATGCTGTGCAGTGGAGCCAACATGGCTCAGTATTTAAAATATGCCACAAATCAAATAGAAGTGGACTGTTTTGCCCTGATTTTCTTAAAGGGAAGAAATGACTTCTGACTGGTAGATAGCTAATACATTTGGCTAGGAGGGTGATTGACATTCTGCTGTATTCTCAAAGCCAGGTGGAAGAAGAAAAGCATGTTCCTGCCACAGTTTTCAGGAAGCAGGCAAACAGAAATCTTTCCTGTGGTTGTAACTTGAATTTTTGTCTCAAATTAGAACTCCTTTTAATATTTCTAAGCTATCCGAACTCTGCCAATCATCTGCTTCCCTTTGCAGAGAAAAATGCTTTTCCTTTGAAATTATTGCTTGGATGATATCATCCTCATTGCTGAATAATGTAAACTCACTTTAGGAATCAAGGAGTTTTGTCTGTTGACCACGAAGAGATATGTAAGGATCTTTTTTCTCAATGTTTAGGCTTATCGAAATAACCCACCCATGTCTAGTTAGATACCCCCTGCTCAAAAACATGTGTCAGAGTTCAGAAAGATTGATCCCCAAGTAACCCCTCTGAAAGACACATTTTTCCTACTGAGATTCTGCTGCCTTCTGACCTATTCCTAAGGGTAAGTTTGCTTTTCGCTTAAAATCAGAGATTAAGACGAGGCATACAGATTTTCCCTGAAGTCAGTATCTGAATTCCAGAGCAGACAATTCTTTTTATTTGGCTAGGCAGTGGGGTTAAGTGACTTGCCCAGGGTCACACAGCTAGTAAGTGTTATGTGTCTGAGGCCGGATTTGAAGTCAGGTCCTCCTGAATCCGGAGCCAGTGCTCTATCCACTGCACCACCTAGCTGCCACCACAGCAGACAGTTTTTTAAGGAAGTCAGCCCTGAACACTCTTTTGACCAGATATTCCCTTACTGATCCAGTTTTGATCTATCTCTGCCAAGCCTGCCATCTTTCTGAATGATACTAGGTTTGAACCAGTGATCTCTGATGGGAGTTGTTTTTGTTTTTTAAAGAATTGCCAAGATACTCGTCAGCTGGGAAAAATTCACCTGACCATATCATTCATTGTTCAGTTTTTATACTCATCATTTACAGATCTCTAGTTCCAATAGACTCTGTTTCCTTTTCATAGAACACTTACTAGATAGTAAAATGTGTATTTTAGAGATCAGTTATAACAAATGCTTAAGTATCCAACTGCCACATGAAGACAATTTTAGCCAGTGGCGTGAAGTTCTTAGCAGTGTGGCTTGATCTGCAAGGTGAATGCCACCTTTGTTGTCAGGAGCCTGCTCAGTAAACCTGTAACTCCCAGCTAAAGCTGGCAGCTCCTTAAACATACTGAGGTGCAGTTACGAGGACACTGAAAATAACACTTTGTAAGCCTCAGCTTAATGGGGACTGGTTTGAGTCAGAAGATGCCAAATCTTGGTAAAAAGAAAATGTGATACAGCCGTTTTGCTGGGTTGTTGGTTTTGTTTAATTTATTTTCTGATGTCTCTAGCTCTGTAACATCATCAGGATTTGGGATTTTGTTTGTTTTTCAGCAAAAATACAAGCAGTTTAGAAATCTCAACTTCCACAGGTTAGCAAAGATCCGGACTCTTTGGTCAAGGGGAAATGTTTTAAGAAGAAATGTACCCCCAGAAGGCAGAGAACAAAGAGCAGCGTGGGGAATCTGGAGAGATCAAGGGTCAGCCCTGGCAGATATTCCAGTGAATAGGAAGGAAATGTGAGCTGGTAGCTGGAGGTTTCATGCACTGGTACAGGAACTGCTCCATAACAGGGTGGAAAACCCCTGTCCCAGGGCATTCCTGAGCCAGAGGACACACTCGCCTCCATCTGAACCTTCAGCCGAGGCCTAGCAGAAACCCCAAGTTCTTGGCATGATGGCAGCTCTGTCAACACAAACCGTGTTTGTGACCACAGCAGATCAGGGCAGGGGACAGTGGCCTTTTACTCTCTGTTTTTATTTTGGCCTGTGGCTCCCTTTCTGTCACCTGTCACTATGGATTCTGATAAGATAAAAAACCGGTGTGGCTTGGTGTATTTTACTTCACTTCGAAAATAATCTTCCCACATCCTTCTGAGGTAGTTTAGAAACTATAAGGCCCAGTTGAAAGCATCTGAGGTACATTGGGTACAGTCCTTAACTGGAAAGAAGTTGAGACTAACTTGGAAATTCTCTTTACCCCAAATAGTCAGAAGATTGGTGTCAAGAGTAGGGTCAAGATATGTCCCGCTTGTCCCCAGAAGATGGCATCCACGTGACCACTGCCTGTCATAGGTAGAAATTCAAGTTACCAACCCCAGGGACTTTACTTCTCAGAAGTTCTTCCCACACATAGCTTCTCTGCAGAACACAGCACCAGAAACAGACTCCGAGCCATAGGCCACGCTTGCCCGTTTGCTGGAAGGAATTCCGTTTCTGGTGAGAAATCAGAAGGACCTGTGTATTAAGAGAACTTCTTCCAGCATAAGCTGGTAGGATATCTGGAAGGGATCCCATCTTCCTCTCCTCTCCCCTTTTGGCCTTGCCCCAGGCATAGATTTTAAAGTGGAAAGTGCCTTATTTGAATCAGAAGTTTAAATCGCCTCTGAGATTATTTATAGATTAAGCTATAGCTTGGTTTGGGGGTTGTTTATTTTTTTTAAACAGTCTGTCAAGTGTTTATCTCTTCTTTGGCTCAGGCTTTCCAGAGAAGTAAAAAAAGTATGTGTGGGGTGTATGTGTGTGCGTGTGTGCGCATGCACGCACACATGCACATGTAAAATGTCTGGCTATATACTATTTGTTTCTGTATAACCACCTAATGAAGCATGGCTTGTGCCTGTATTTGTTTAAATTTAAAGGCCATATAAGGTAAAGTGGCTTGCTTCCTTTCAAGATCCTAAGGGACGGGATAATAATAATAGCTAGAATTTCTACCTCACTTTAAGGCTTGCAGAGCACTTTGCATATGTTAGCTCATTTTTCTCTTCACAGCAACTGTGAGGGAAGTGATATTATTATCTTCATTTTACAGATGAGGGAACTGAAACTAAGAGAGATTAAGTGACTTGCCGAGGTTCACACAGTTAGTACTTAAGTCAAGATTCAGTGTCAGCTAAGTGGCACAGTGGATAGGCCACTTGGACCTGGAGTTAGGAAGACCTGAGTTCAAATTCAGCCTTAGACACTTATTAGTTGTGTGGCCCTGGACAAGTCCCTTCTGCTTGCCTGTTTCCTTATCTGCAAAATGGGAGTAATAGTAGCACCTCCCTCCCGGGGGTGTGGTGAGGATCAAATAAGATGCAACTTGTAAAGCACTTAGCTTAGTGCCTGGCACAGAGGAGGTGCTTGATAAAGGCTTCTTGCTTTCCTTCCCTACTCCGCATGAAGCGCTCATCCACTGTGCCAC